CTCCTCCTCCTCCTCTTCATCTTCAGCTGCAGCAAATGTTTCAGTGTGAGCTTAATTAATGTTTAATCAGGATATAATAATAATCTGTTAAAGTCCTGCTTTTATTTTCTTTAAGATCTTCCAGCTGTTTATCAGTAATAATAAAATCAAAGGTCTGTTTATTAAATTTAAAAAATGAGCTAAATTACATCATTTAATCATTTTGATTTCTTGTTTTTACAGAACAAAACAAGCTGTTTAATTTAAATTGTTAATAATTATTAAAACGTTAAAGTTTCAAAGCCCTAAAATTAAACTAAGATAAATAAATAATTTTTACACAAATTTCTGTTTATAGAAACATTTCAAAACATTTAATTATGACTTCACCTGAAAAACGGTTCTTTTTCAATTGATTTTATTATCTTTAATAAAACCATAAATATATCCAAAACTTAAAACTTAACAAAATAAAATTTAAAAAAGCAAAATAAACACAGACTTTTATTGTGAAGGAGTGACCGGAAGTGAGCGGTGTTTTGACTGGGCTCGGCTCGGCTCGGCTCGGGCTGAATGAGGAGAGGACTTTAGCTCGGTTCTGATGGAGTCCTGGTTCTGATGGACCCTCTGGGTGAGTCTCGCTGTTTGTTCCGGTTCGGTTCCCGGATGTTCGGGAAACACGCAGTCCGGTTCGGAGTTCTGTCCTCCGGGCTCTCAGCTCCAGAACCACGCAAAGTTCTGAAGTCTCCGCCTGCAGGGAGGGAGACCGCCGAACCGAGCCGAACTCTGCCGGTCCGGACGGACAAGTTCACTTCTCTTTATTTAGCTTCGGTTCGGTTCGGTAAAGTTGAGTTTTCCAGCTTCAGGTCCAGAACCAGAACCTGGACCCGTCCTGTCCTGCTGAGGACTTTAGAGTTTTTATTTTTAATTTATTTTATTTTTAAAACACAAATTAAATCATAAATTACAGATTATTTTAAATGAAGTGACTTTAATCTGATTTCATGAAGCTGCGGATCAGAACCAGAACCAGAACCAGAACCAGAACCAGAACCTTTCTGTTGACTGAAACTTCACTAAATTATAAACTCTTTATGATTAAATTTAAATGTTTTATCAGGAATAAAACAAATAAAAATAAATAAAATGTTTTAAATTCTGTCCAATCAGCTGTTTACATGTTTTATTAAAGATCAACCAGAACTCAGAAACTGGGTCCAGGTCCAGAACCTGACTCTGACAGAACCAGAACCAGACCCAGACTGACAGCTGATTAGTGAATCAGGTTCATTTCTTCAGATTCCAGCAGCTGAGTGCTGCTCACCTGTCCTCAGGTGAGTTCCTCTGGTGAGACTCACCTGAGGGGTTCTCACCTGGAATCTTTGAATGTCTCCATTTTTACCCATTCAGCTGTCAGCCAATCACAGGCCTGCGTTTCATTCAGAAAACATGACGTCATCAGAGTTATTACTGTGTGTGTGTGTGTGTGTGTGTGTGTGTGTGTGTGTGTGTGTGTGTGTGTGTGTGTACAAACAGTTTGAATTGTAATAATGTCTATTATTTTATGTGATGAGTAAGTCCTGCCTATTTTTCTCTGTTGTGGAGGGACAGTGCTGTCTGTGGTGCTTAACCTTCATGGACAGGCAGGCATAGGTGTTTGTTTTCAATCTTGCATATTATTTTGGTGATGAATTATTAAGTGATAGTAGAGAGGAAAGTTGGCAGCATACACGTCATATAAAGAAGGTTGTCGTGGCAAGAATGGTCAGAAACACGGCGAAAAGGTGTTAAAAAGACAAATGGTCTGCTGGGTATGATAATAAAAGTCATTTATTGATGGGCAGACATGAAACAGAGAACAATCACGAAGTCTGTAAGATGTGGGCC